ATAATGATTAACGCGTTTAGAGACCAATTTTCAACTCCTGGTTGAAGTATAAAATCTAATTTCAACTGTAACGCACAAGAACTGAAAATTTGACGCAAGAATTCACAAATAAGATATAAAACATAATGTGCTTTTGATCAATGTAAAATTGACTATTACATAATACACCTATACTCAATTTTACTACATGTACTTCGTCACATTGTGTCAATCGATCGCACGTTCATCCATCATGGATCGTGTTGACTAAAGAGAGTTCAATCATTCAACAGTATTAAAAAACTAATGCTCGAGACTCACGGAGAATATTACCAACTATCCTTACTTCTCAATTATCACGACTCTCCTGAAAAATTTCAATAGTTCAATCATTCAACAGTGTTAAAAAACTAATGTTCGAGTTTCACGGAGAATATTATCAACTACCCTAACATCTCAATTATTACGACTCTCCTGAAATTTCAATAGTTCAATCATTCAACAGTGTTAAAAAACTAATGTTCGAGTTTCACGGAGAATATTATCAACTACCCTAACATCTCAATTATCACGACTCTTCTGAAAAATTTCAATAGTTCAATCATTCAACAGTATTAAAAAACTAATGCTCGAGACTCACGGAGAATATTATCAACTATCCTAACTTCTTAATTATCACGACTCTCCTGAAAAATTTCAATAGTTCAATCATTCAACAGTATTAAAAAACTAATGCTCGAGACTCACGGAGAATATTATCAACTACTCTAACATCTCAATTATCACGACTCTCCTGAAATTTCAATAGTTCAATCATTCAACAGTGTTAAAAAACTCATGTTCGAGACTCACGGAGAATATTATCAACTACCCTAACATCTCAATTATCACGACTCTTCTGAAAAATTTCAATAGTTCAATCATTCAACAGTATTAAAAAACTCATGCTCGAGACTCACGGAGAATATTATCAACTATCCTAACTTCTTAATTATCACGACTCTCCTGAAAAATTTCAATAGTTCAATCATTCAACAGTATTAAAAAACTAATGCTCGAGACTCACGGAGAATATTATCAACTACCCTAACATCTCAATTATCACGACTCTCCTGAAATTTCAATAGTTCAATCATTCAACAGTGTTAAAAAACTCATGTTCGAGACTCACGGAGAATATTATCAACTACTTTAATATCTCAATTGTCACAAAAAATTTCAATAACCGAGAAACTTAACGACCACCCTTTCCGTCCACGCGTGGAATGCCAGGCAAATATAGAAGAAATTTCTCGATATACTGCACACACGCTGGTCCACCGGGGAGAAAGCCACCGTGGACGGAGGATCGGAGGTTAGCCGAAGGAGGCGGCGACGGTTTTTAATCTAGAAAGCTCGCGGGCTTTTGATCTCATTAGACGCTCGTTGGAACGCGCCTCGTTGACGCGTCGCCCGCAGGCGTTCGCTGCTTGCTCTCGTCCCTGTTTCTTAACAATTTAAAGAAATTCCAGGCCGAATAACTGCGTCCACCCGACTAAAGAGTTACGGTTAATGGAGGGGAAAATGGCGCGCGTCAGCGCGAGGCTGCCAGCCACCGGAACACAACGGAAAGAAAGAGAGCACTGAAAGAGAGCGGGAGCCAGAGCAACGTTTCAAAGCGTCCTATCCAGGCTGAGAAGCAAATTGAAAATCAGCCCAGTGCCCCCCTCCCCCCCTCCCCTTTCTCTACCCTCCCGGGTCGAATACTTGGCAAATAGTTTCGTTGGCGATCGCCAACGGGTGAAGCTCTGCGTGAGAATGTTCGATCGGCTGCGTTTAGTCGAGCGGGGAATAGCGAGCCTTTGTTCGAGCCATCTTCCTTCAAGGGTGTGAACCTGTTTCCTGAGTTATTGGGGAGGTATGGGAGAGGGGATTGTCAGTCTGTTAGCAGATAAGGGTGAGTTTATGCTTGGAGAGTTAATCGAACGAGTATCGAGTGGAGTAGGCGTGTATTTTGTCTGTTTCTTTTTATTTGGAATTTGATTTTTGGAGAAATCGCGGAGGATAAGAGAGAAATGTTGAGAATCACGAGTGACAGAGTGTAGTGTCAAGCAGAGAATTTAGTTAGCAAAAGTTATGACTATGACGCAACATAGCGTGGCATATTTTTACTATTACATTACACTATGTGGTTTACTCACAAATACGTTTGAATTAATTCCGATCCGCTCTCTGATCAATTTTGTTTCCACTAGAATTCGACTTGGTGGCAAGAGAATCACGAAAAATGTATCAAACGTTCTCGATACTTGAACGCATGAAAGCATAATTCGATTGTTTCAAAGTTGAGACACTAACAGTCTCTTTGAATGATAATTTAACGAATATGTTGACGGCGCATGAAATCACAGTTTGCTCCAGAGGAGGATAGTTAACAGAATTCGAGCATAACTAGCTGCAAGGTAAAGGTAACAACCGTGTTGCCGTGTTGAGTTAATCATCAAAGCGTGAAAGAAAGTTTCGGCTTGGCGGGGCCTCATCGTAGACGGCGAAGTTTGTCGAATCGGAATGTAAAAAGTTATTCGATTAGCTCACTTTTGTCTACATTAATTATGATCCGATACTTTCGTGCTCTGCGAACGGGTAGCAAGTATCGGCCGTGATAGAACTTCTGCGTTAAGTGGATGAGAAAAGTTTCTTTAATACCAGCAGCGGGAGAAAGGTGAACCAGAGGCGAAAAGAAGAGAAAAAAAATAGAAGGAAAGGAGGAAAGAAACGAAAGGCCAGAAGGAGATGAAGAACGGAAGAGAGGATTGATCTACGGCCGATCAAAGGATTAGTCGAAGACTGGTCTCTGCGTGATTTTCATCGGGCCGCTGATGCTAGATGCAGATTAAAAGAAATTTCCTTCAGTGGAAAAGACGTTGCGAATATCGAAAGAAATATAGTAACAGTATTGGAAGATAAATTATTGATTAAATATCTGTTCGCTTTCATTTTCCTTTTTATCACGGTAGAATATTATCCGTGAATAAACAGTTCGTACAACTGAAGTGAAATGAAATTCGAGGAATGAGGATGGAAAAGTATAAAATGTACCCTACGTACGCAACGAATCCCATTCTACTTTTTATTATAATAAAATTTTCTATGTTTGAATGCATTATACATTCAACGGATATGTGTCGAATCTCGTTTTACTTTCCGTAACAATGAAACTTCCTTTATTTGAATTTTTGGTGACTGAATTATACGGCACGAATGAGTTACACAACTGGATCCGGTCGAGGAAAGTATCCAAGAAAGTTAGCAAAGTTAATTTTCTAAAGAGAATCGTGTAGGAATGATGATGGTTAAGCAGAAAAAGCATGCGTTTGTGTTTCTGCTCAATTACAAGTGCATTAATCTTTTAATGCTCTTTGCCCGGTTTTTTCTGCACCGTAAAATAAATGCGATTTCAGCTTTAGATTAAGACTTGAGGAAGTTCGAGACTTCAGTTTTAATACGATGGAGATCTTGCTTGACGATGAAATTTAAAATTTTCTTCCTCGGCTCGGTCGAAAATTCAAAAATCACCGCGTCACGGAGTTAGAAAATTGATCACCCAGGCCAAATTACGGTTAAAGAGTAGTTAGCAAATCTGGCTGGCGATTCAATTAGCCGTATAATGGCACTCAGGCTAATTAGTTTCTAATCATACAAAGACATCTCTTGCTTCAAGAAGCAATTATACCTCAATTCCAAAGTTCGAGGTACTCGAACTTTCGTGTCCCCGGGTGGAAATTAAATTTGAAATAAATTACAGGATACAATTACGCTGAGAAATTTAACTTTCTTTTTCCCGCGAAGTTCGCGAAAACCCGAGCTTAGAAAATTGCTCATTAAGTCAGAATATACTCGAGACGTGCGAAAGTTTAAAATTTTCATTAATGTGCGGAGAATGAATTTTTTTTTTCAGAAAACTACTTCAAATTTTCAGCTACTTTTTCAAATGGTTGGCATCTTTGAACTTTCTAGCTTCTCTTCATTTTTAAGAAAAGTCGTGTCTCCAAGTCGTGTCTTTCAATTATTATTTTTTTAAATGTCACTTTTCAGACGTCTAAAATGACATTTAGAAAAGAAAAAAAAAAAAAAGAATTAAAAGAATTGCAGTCAACGAATGATCAAGCTAAAACGACAACAAAGTAATAACTAATATTCAAATAGAATTCTTCTATCTTTGACGGTGAATCTTCATTTTACCAACTCTTCCATCGTTCGACAAATTTCACCTGCTCGATTTCTCAGATAATTCGTTCTCGATCTCCGCTCCGACATCGATCCCAAGTAATTCAAGTTTCCAGACACTTTCGGAAAAGCTTCTCGCATCTACCACTTTCCATTCGTTGAATTTTTATCACAGGCAGCCGCGTTTCTGTTTCACGGAAAGGCGAAACCTTTGTCGACGAGAAGCGTCGCCTGGGGGATGAGAGGAATATCCGACGAGCTTATCGAGACGAAAGCCGATATCCATCGATACAACGAGACTCTCCGTTGCCCTAAGAGAGTTGTACAGCTCATTAAAAGCTCGTTAGAGGAGGATCGCGCGAGATCGAGGAACGTAGCTGGCCTAACTCCTTGGTTGCAGTTTCGCGGGTATCGCGGCGTACGCCGGAAGTCGTGCTCACGCAGAGCACCGCGTAAACTAACTTAATTACTCGCGAGATTACGCTCGTAAAAAAGTAATTTGCGATTAAATTAACTGTCAGAGAAATCTAGGAAGCAAACGGTGTGCCCGAATTAATGTAATTTTTGCCCTTCTTTAACCATCGAATTACTTGCTCACTGCTGTTGAATTATGTACATGATTTGATTTTATTTTTTAATAATCTAATTTTATTTTGCACTTTACGATATACGTATACAGTATGATGTCACAGATAGTTATTGATAATTCATGTTAGATACGTACGGCATTCAATTATGACACGTATATGTTATTTTTATTTTTTTAACTATCGAGTAGTTTTGTTGAATTATAGATTTAATTTTACGAAACTTACCTGAGTCTTCACGTCGCCGCCGGCAATAACTTTCGATTGAAAGTTGCTACGTTCCATAAGGATCTTTGCATTATTTATGTAGACTTCCTGGCCGTGCGTGCCTGGTCTCCTGGTGACCCACAAGGGTGGATTACCCTCCAATTCCGACGAGATCGAGTCCCCTAGATTCTCAATCGTTTTTGGAAAGTTTGCTGAAACAAAACAACAAATGTCTTTTTATCTTATTGCCATTGTTCATAATTGCGCGTCAATTTTCGTCAGAAGAGATCAGAATTTTCTCAGTTACCATTTATGGTATTATGTTTTTAGTAATTAAATAAATGTAACTAAGATTATGATCTCTTATTGATTTAATAAATTAAACTCAACTAATAGCTCGACGTTAGCTATGATTGTCTGTATTTCAGTTATATTTGAAAATGCTAATAGCTAATCAAACATGGAAGTAACTTCATTTTCAATATGGAACAGTAAAACATTGAAACTCTAATTTTAATATTATCTATCAACAGATTAAATCATACTGCCATTTTTCTTTAATTAGCCATCAAATACCTACTTGTTAACTGAACACAGATATAATAAAAACAGTAAAAGAAGAAGAGAATTCATTAAAGAATTTAATATCACACGAAACGAGGAGGTTTTAGCTTCCATCTTCCCACAGAATTCTACCCCAGCACGCTATTTAAACGCTGAAGAAACCAGTATAGCGAGCGTGCAAGAAGCCATAAACCAGGAACAACAGATCTAAACAGAGGGACAAAAATCCCGCCAAGTGCGATCCATCAAGCGCGTTATTTCCTCCTTCCGTCATTCCCGAGTCCCAAACTCCTAAAAAAAAAAAAAAAAGAATCGTTCTCGAATCCAAGCCCGCAAGCTCGTCACCAGCGCGACAATTTTATTTTTCAACCAAGCAACGAGCACGCGAGTTTTACAACAGCGCAGAAACGTTAAAGAGGAGAGTTTAAAAAAGAAAGAGGAGGAAGGAAAGGAGGGCTGGGGGGAGAATCGCTGAAAGAAAGGACAAGAAAAAGATGAAAAGAACGGAAAGGGGGAAGGAAAACCGAGCAAAGAGAAAGAGAGATAGAGGATGGTAAAGAGTTCACCGCGAAGCTACAAAGCTGCTCTCTTTATTATCTCGTTACCGGCTAGAACGTCCTCGTAATCCTGAGATTTTTCCAGCCGTCTGTCTACCACGATAACACAGATACCGTTTCTGCATCCTGCAGGAGAAAAAAAAAAAAAAAGTTCAATCTCCGACATAAAGGGAGAATGCCAGCGCGATGCCAAGCGACAACAATAGCGCTCATTACGAACGTCAGAAATTGGGTCTTGTGTTTCGTTAAACTGCCTCGCCCCGTGGTTTTCTTACTCCCGAGGAATCGAGAAACGTCGCAGGACCCTCACCGCGGCACGACATTTCTCCCTCCTGACTCTTCCTTTCCGTCTGCTTCCTCGTTTTTCTTTTTTCTTCTTTTTTTCTTGTTTCTTCTTCTTCTTTTCTCCGACCGAGAAAAATTCCCTGGTTCCAAGGGAATCATTTTCTTTAACTGTCCAGCCGGCGAACGAGGTGTGCGGCGTCCGTTCTCCGTTCTGCGTTCGAGAGTCTGACAACAATTTCAACAAGCAGAACTAGAAGCGGTCCCCGTGTTTCTTTCCCCTTTGATGGCCAGCTGGCCGACCGTTTTATCGTCGCATCAGCGAAAACGTTCCCACCCTCTTCGAGTTTGCGTGAATGCGATCGTTTTTGCGTCCGAGTTTCTCTCGCCGAGATCGACGCTATTTCAGCGGTGATCGACACCTTTTACCCGGTCTTGATCCCGAGGACTTATCGGGAAATGACTCGCTCGCTTTTGAAGAGAGAACGAGAGAGAGAGAGAGATCGATTCGAGTTGATGATCGCATGCATGCAAACACGTCGGCGATCGACGAGCGTTTGTGCGAGCGTAAAGTGTAGAGATATAGCGGGTGTAACTTGATTGATTTGGTAGCAAGAGTTGGTATATAAATAGTACATTGGATGTAAGAGAAGTTAACGTCTATGGATATTTCGAGATTTATTTATTGCTTGTGGTTAGGTTGAGAATTTTTATATATTCGTACGAGAAAATATTTACATATTGAAGACGATTACGTTGGATTGCCAATTTTTGAAAATGAATATTCATCGTAGTGATATATTTACGTACTTGTCATCATTGTAAGAAGGAAATATGTATGATTGAGCAGTAAATAAATTGAAAATTTTTGTGGAAACATTTATGGAAACTTCAAAAGGGCCAAAGTATATTGAACTACGAGATACGAGAGTAAAATATAAAAAATAGATGAAGTATAGTTGCAATATTTGCAAGATAAATTTCGACTAAAATTTCACTCTCTTAATTGTGTCTACAAAAATATAAATTTGCATAAATTTGCAGTCAAGCCATGGTTTCTAAGGATTATGTAAATAATTTAATACTCCATCATTTTTATTTTCGTATGCACTGTTGAACAAAAAAGAGCTTAAAATTGGTACTTAAATTTCATACCTCACATTAGTCATCTGTTTCAGGGTATAATTTCGACTTGTAAAATTACACTGTTCTTTCGTGGAGCTTATCTTTCAAACTTTCTTTTATTGGCCACTGTAGGTAAACTCATTTCATATCGAATAAACCATCAGAAGTTATCATTTGAGTAGACTGTTTTTAAACGTAACAAAAAAAAGCATAATTTAATCATTTTTCATTGACAAAGCGATACAATTTCTTAATATAATAGAAGTACGTAATCTAAAATTATGGTGAGCAGGAAAGCTCATTTATTACTCACTTGCATGTTATAAGCTTCACTGAATAATAGAAGTTTATGCTTTCACATAATGCATATACAACATAATGTGATAAAGTAAATGATTTACTATTAAATTAACCTACAACTATAAACCACTGAGGAGTTTGAATTTCATCAGATTACATATTTCATTAATTTTATTATTAAAATCTGGTCGATAGTTTCAGAAACACTAGAGAGGATTCCTTTAGAAATTCAGTACTTGTTAACATACGTATATTAAGTTTCACAAAATGATTTAATAAATAAGATTGTTACCAGTTGTGAATAATTTGCAAAAACTTGCATCTATGACAAATGTCTATATTTAAAGCTCCATTTCCATCAAAAATTCCACTCTTCAATTCTATTGCGATTGAACTCTTATTGTAAGATATCTATTAAGATTCATATTTATTCAAGCTTCTGTAAAAATTTCAACCAGACAAATCTTCTCTCGCAAAGTCCATCGAAAAAGGTCCATCGATCCACTGTTAGAGTTATTGCTTGACGTAAAACGTCAGACGATCCTGAACTATACGGAAACAGTTATACAGAGAAAGTAAAACGAGACTCGTACACGTTACGAGCTACGTTCGCGCATTTATCTCGAGCCAGCAGAAACAAGATCTTTGATACCGTTAAACTACATGATGAACGAGAGAGGCAGAGGATGAAATAAAAGCAAAGACATTATTCATCGCAGGCGTCGAATCGCACGTACGACGATCGAAAAATCTAGACAAATATGTTCCATCGAACGATCAATAGGTCCACCCAACTCTCCCTCCTTGCCTACCGATCTCTGCATCGTTTTGTCCCAGACGTCCCTTTCAACGAAGGCGGATGATTAAGTCCTCGATCGAATCCCATTTATTTTCCGGTGGGAAACCCCTTGGGGCACAGGTGCGATCGCCAACCACAAAACGAGAACATTCGTACAAAGCTGCTTGCGCAATCGATTTATATTCTCCCGCTAAAAATCTTTCTCGCTGCTTGGGCGCGTCCGTGTCGTTCGCCAGCTTGTACCTGAAAAGTTGTGCTTTTTTCGAGATCTGCCGACGAACAGCAGCTTGGTTAACAAAGAAAATACGCGTGGCTGGAATTAACGACGAAAACGGAAAAAACCAGTTATCGTATACTGTACGCCAACCGGGCAAAGTATCAGGAGTGGCTTGGCTTAGCCGGTGACACGGGGAAAAAAACGTTGGATCGTCGAAAAACGCTGGAAGCTGCTGCGAATGGAATCGAGACTATTCTCTTTCAATACTGATTCGATGGTCGGTAAATGTTTTCCTAGTAGGAGAGCATATCTATGTAAGTTGGCAAATCTCTGTTGTTTTATCGGAAAATTTTGTTTGCCCTTCTCTCCGTTTGATAAATCTTTTTTTTTTTTTTTTTTAAGTATTTTGAGGTAGAGCTAGAAAATGAGGTTTAAATATTATAAATTATGGACGTTACTTTGTAATTGATTGAACGCGATATGATATTATATCATGATATAAATTTTTGAAATAAGGATTGATTTAAATAAATATATACCTTTATCACGATACTATGTCATAAAGAAGTTTATTTTGTTACAACTGTATAGATAAAGTGTAACATACGGAAAGATAGTATCAATCAAGATAGTATCAATAGTTTTTGATATTAATGAAGTAACTTGAAAGTAATTCAATCAATATTTCATTATCATCAAATCATTAATTTAGACTCTTACCTCATACATTTATATTCTTCAAATGAAAATTTCATTTCATGTGTCACTTCTCCCATGAAATGGAATAAAATGAAATGAATAATACTGAAAATTACAAAGAAGAGGAATCTCAAACAAATAACAATATCTAAAATTCCGAGACCAAATCAAGTTCTACGTCTCACGACACAAAGCTCACTGCAGACAGATTCGTGGCACCTATTTGTAGGTGAGATTTCGAGAAAAGATAGTGGGCAAACAGACTTCCGGCGAAGCTCATAGAAATGCTGGAACGTGCTCGGCGAGCTCAGAATAATTTCGATTCCAGTGGCCGTTTGCACGGTCGTTTACACCGGCGCATACCAGCGCGGGGATATTTCAGTACAGTGCGCGAGGCACAGCATCTTGTTTGGACACTTCTTTAAATCAATTACGAGTTTCTGGCAGGCAAGTTCTCCGGGCAAGTAGCACACGCTTGCACCGCCCTGCCAGTTTAACGAAAGTTCGATGAACGCCCATCTCTCCTCTCTCTCTCTCTCTCTCCTCCTGCGCCGCGGAAACGTGGCATCAAACTCTCGGTTTCCGGATTGTTTGCTCGGCTTCGACGGATTCAATCGGCACATTTGTGATTCAGATGATGATCGTGGGGGGGCCGGCTTACGCTCGTGAAATTCGAATATCGCAATTACGTCTGCCGTCGCCGGGCTTCCCGGACAGAGCCAGATTTTCAAAATTCCGTCCTCGCCTCTGGTTACGTAGATTCGCGTTGCGTTGATTGTAAGTGCGCCAGTGTAATTTGCACGGCGAACACGTTTATTCAAATTGTCTTTAATACGAGTATAATGTGGAATTCACGACCGTACCGTATATGAAGCATTCATATAACCGAGTATATAGAGTAACGTTCCCCTTAATGAGGACGGTTGCCATTGTTAGAAACTGTTTGGAAATTATTGAAACGTTTTGTTCGATAGTCTCGTTTTTCATCAAATATTTTTCGTAAAAAGTGAATTTCAGAAAATTTAAAGTACACAATCCGCAGCAGAAAATTTTGATTTACAAAATTAACAAAAACATTTATAATTAGTAAATTTAGACTAATAATAGTTCAACAAAATTAAATCTGTTTAATGTGATTACTTATGATGGTTTAATTCGCGGCGACAAAGCATGCTGATGATGAGCGCTCTCTAGGTGCGCTTCTGGAACTAATCAGAGCGACAGTGGCGTTCAGCTTGTCGTTGTGTGAAGTTGTATTTCTGCGCTTTCGATGTCAATTATGTGATTTTGAACGAGTGGAATAGTTTTTGGTTGTTTTGTTTAGATATACGACTGTAAAAAGGCTTCTTTGATAATATGGATAACGTGTCAGTGTCAAAGGTATAGTACACCTGTTGCTTTTACTTACATAACCTTAAAATACTGATATGGCACATTGTTTATACAGTTATAACAAGATAATTTTTGTCTATTTTCACGGTTAGAAGTAATTTCTTTATCTCTTTTGAACGAAAGTTACACGCATTGACATTTTAGCATATATAAATATTTTGACACTTTATAAATTTAAGTCTTTGGAGAAAAATCTTTTCTTTATTATATGTCTTTAAATCTAAAGTCTTCAGACTTTATCAGAGAAAATTAAAATAATTTCAGGGTGTTTTTGCACACAAAGGTGCATACAAAATTGGGAATAAGCATACAAAATTTGAACCATTGGATTTTTTAAACGAACCATGGTATCTCACTTATAGCGAAACGTGGAAAAGCATTCAAAATGCTATAGAGGTATTTGTCTCGTGTTGAATGTTCATACATGAGCAATTCGCGCTGCTATATTATATCAATAATTAAAATTTTAGGATATAAGGTCCAGTATGTTCCAACAAATTTTGAATGATTTAGAATCTTTTGTCTCTAAAATTAAAGCTAAACCAATTGAGCAATTTGAAAATGAAATACAAACAGCCATTTTATTAACAGGTGATTTAATTGAATATATATCTAAAATTCTTTTTTAATCAGATACATACGATTTTGAAATCACTATATTGTAGGAGTTAATGTCTCTGATCATTCGATAATGTTTCAAAGAGTAATTTCCAAGTTAGAACCAATAACAAAGCATATTGCTGTCATACTGAGTAGGGACTCGAATAATATAAAGAATCTCGTAGAAGAATCAATTTATCAGTTGATGAATAATGAAAAGGTAGTTACCAGAGTATTAAGAAATACAAATTGTTATATATTGTGTGTAATATACATACAATTTGTAGGATGAAGAAGATATTCTAACTAAAAAGAATCAATGTCATATGAGAAATCTTAAGCTATGGTACCAACAAAATTGTGATCAAAATGATCCCCTTGTTATACTGATAACTGATTTTGAAAGTTCTTCTCCTGAAGTATTACATGATTTTATTTTAATATTAAGGTATTATAATTGTTTGATGAGTATATACCAGATTAATATACTCATTTTTAGTATATGAGAAAATTAACATTCTGTATCTTTTAGTTCATATACAAGTTCAATGAAATTTATTCTTATATTTGGTGTTGCAACTACCTTGCATGCCATTCATAGATCTTTAACATACGATGTTACATCAAAGTTGAATGTTCAAGTAAGCAGCGAATGCACCATAAAATTGATAATAAAAATAATAATGAAATATAGAGATATTTAAAGAAGTAAATATGTTTGTCTAGGTATTTCATATGCAGAAACAAATTGACATTTTGTCAGATGTGTTAGAAAAAACTGTTTTTTGCACAAACATTCCGTTTAAATTAATTGGGCGCGCGTTTCAGTTTTTAACGGATATTTTTTTGTTCTATGATTTCTCTGTAGAGAATTTTTTACATAGTTACAAGGTACCAATTTATTTTATCCTTTTGTTTCCTTTTGATCCTTTTCTATGTACCATTCAGTGTCCAAGTTATTCTTACGTTTTTAGATATGTATGATACAACACTTTTACGCGAACAATGTAAATTCTCTTTGTTGTCAACCGCAAAAGATAAAACATCGGATGTCTTGTTTAACAGACGAGGATTTGACAGAAATTAAAAAATTACCCTCTATAGAAAGATATATTGAACAACATACGAGTGATGAGAATAAAGATGAATTGCTTGATAATGATAGGTTCAAGGTACGGTTTTGTATTCATTTAATTAATGCACACTACTGCCATTTAGCAAGCATTACTTATTACACATAGTTTTGAAGTATTTTATTACAATTTTAAGAAATCATAGGTTATAAAATTAACACTGATTTAAAGCTAGCTCATTATTAGGAAACATTGTCGCAACTGCTAAATAAATTTCACCAATATATGCACCGATTTTTAATAACAGTCAAGTGTCTCCACGATCTCACGTCGACACTGCCAAACGCGCCAATGGGCAAACAGGTATAAATCAATGAAAAACGAATGGCTTTCACCAAAGACTACGTAATCTACATTTCAACGAAATTTAGAAAATTTGGAGAATCAGTTCAATACTATTTTAGCTGCGCGAATATTACACGAGAGCAGTCTACGCGAAAGATCTAAGAGAATCTCAAGAGTATAAAGAATGCCTGCAATTATTGAACTTTTTGTCGAAGAAGGAAATGCTTGGAAAATTGAACTCTCTTGCAGCAATTATGAAAAGTTCGAAGGATCCAGTTATGAATAAAGTTAAAGCGGATTTACAGAGCCATATAAAAACAATCGAGGAAGCTGGTTTAGAAGTAGCCTCGAATCCTGTCGATATTGTTTCCACCGGTGAAAAACTCAGTCGACTTCAACTGAAAGAGGTCTGAAATTGAATTCAATGCTATTCCATGTGACGCGCGTGTGTTAAAGAGAATGGGAGGAAATTGCAATATTTTGCTTTGTGTTTCGCTCGTAGAAATTATTGAAACTGTCGCAAACGCAATCTCGATCGCCTTATAAGATAGCCCAACAGGATGTGATTGATTATTTGGATCAGAAAGTATTCTCTGTGTACTTGGTCAATCCTCATTATGTACCAGCCAACGAGATATTTTGCTTCAGCGATGGAAATTTAGCGAAACAGCATATCCGTGGGTCTTTGAGAGCTGCCATTCATACTGGATTAAATGATCCACACGTATACTTAAATGTGAGTTAAATAGAAATTAGTTTTGTGATATTTGTGGTGTGGGTGCTGCATGATATTGATTGGAAAAAGTGAAATGAAATTTTGCAAACTGTTATTCTAATAAATCTATCAACACTCCGAAAATTCCATATTGTGTATGTGTGTGTATGTGTGTGTGCTACTAGATTTATAATTACATTTTATAATATCACAATATTTAGTGTTTAAAATTTCGTATATTATTATTTATTGCAGACGGTCACATATTACAATTAAGTAATTTTGTTGACTGTGAAAAATAAACATCAAACTGTTTTCATGAGAAATCAAAAACACGATTGTTCATTGATCTCCTCATTATTGAAATATAGTCGTAAAATCTACTGAAAATAGAACGAATCTCCTTAAAATTTTTCACGATTATTTTTTAATCCTGTTCGAGATATATAAAATATAAATATAATTCGTTATGAAGTATTCGTGACTCCCCGTTGAATTGCTTCCGCCTTGAACGAGAGCTTTTCCCTCTTTTCACGCGTTCACTGCGGCTTACGATTCTTCCAATAGCTATTGACCTTTCACTCTTCTCTATCGAACAGTCGGATATCGATTATAGATTGTTCGTGATAATAAACGAGGCCCCTGTCCTACACAGGTTCAAGTTAATTGGAAATACATATTTCAGTGCGAGTGCTGCAAATTGGAGAATGACGACGCCATTCCGTCCACGCTGCCTGACCTCAGTATAATTTACAAGTTGCACTTGGAATCCAGGAAGCTGATCAATATGTACGACTGGTTGCAGGTAACAATCCGTTTCGTGTTTACAGGTAAATCACAGTTATACTTATGGTCACGTACGCTGACTCACGAATTGGCACAGAAAACTTTCGTGTGTATATTGTACGTGTTGTGCGAAACACTTTGAGGCAGTATTTGTTGTTAGTATTTAGTTAGTAACTAGTGGATTTTTATGAAAATTTATATTTTTGTAGTTAATTTGGTAATATATAACAGTGATTATAATACAAAATACATGCATCTAGAATCAGAGAATTGAAGTTTGATAAATACAGATCAATTTCAATTGATGATAAATAAATGAATTATTAAGTTTAAGAAATTAGTATATTTACGTTTTAAAAAGAGTTTACTATGCCTATTCCAAGTACTTTTATCGCATTTGTGATCAGATTATGTCTCAAATATTGTTAATATAGAAATTTCAAAATATTTTATACAACACAGATATATACGTTCGTAAAAGATTTCTGTCTTTGAATATTATCGTGAGTTATTGTGTGCATTCGTTTCGTGATGTTAATCGTACTCGCGAACGAGTGATTCACGCAAACAGCGTGTTGTAAAGGGGGTTGTTTTATTATTTTGCCGTCATTAAGGTGTAAGTATTGGACAAAGAAAATTAAAGTGAAAAAGTATGCACATGTGATCTCTAAATTACGCAGAGCTGTTAGAAAAATAGTAAGATGAAAGAGATAGTGCACGACAATATTGTTCGGTGAATTACTGTTTTGTTGGAAATAAAACCAAATTATTTAATAGCCGTATACATGTGAGTGATAGAGATAAGTATAAATATAACTGGTTTATGCAAATATTTTTTTTAGAAACATGTATGGATTATTTCTCTGAAAGGAATGAAAAAGTTATTTCTGACTTCTTTTTAAATCTAATATATTATTTTATATACAATTTTAATTAGAATATTTTTATCAATATTGGTGGCACATGTCAAATGTAATATTTTCTTTGATGTTGATTCATGAAATGAAAAATTTTATTAATCCTAACAGTTTATAAATCTATTTTATGCTAAGATAAATATAATACGCCATGTTAGGTAAGCATAGAAATTTAAATCAGCACCATGATAAAAATTCGTTCGCTTGTTTATTCATGAGCGCACATCGATGCGTTTCATTGTATTATAGAAAATACCTCCTGTTTGGTTCGTACATATTGATTTATTTCTCATTTCGTGACATGAAATTGAATAAAAAAAAAAAGACAAAACAAATATTTGCGGAAATTTCAAAAATAAGATATTTTAAACACAGATCGAATTATATTCCGTTTTGCGAATAATATTTTTAAAAATTTGGTGCAAGTTTTTTCTAGATGAAAATTTTCCGCTGTGTGAAATAGTGGCGAAATTAACGTTCCAACTATTTCGGTTCAATTTGTCGCAAAGTACGTTTTATCTCGTCACGTGTTAAATTATAAATCCAAACACTTTTGTTTCGTCTAATCCCCGGCGTTTATGTTCCTTTATATGAAAGAATTACGCCGCGAAATGGAGAAATGAATGGAGACACGAGCATTCTCTGAGAATTCCATTTTCACGGACGTCGACCACGGCGTAAGGTGTTAAGCTACATTCGCATAGAAAGGCAGGCTTTTAATGGCGCCGCGTTTCGTTTGCCTTGAAATATAGCTTTTTACGTTAAAAATGTTTTATTAGTACAAACAGAGTTCTTTTTTCACTCAATATTTCTTATTTTAAATTCGTTTTTAATGAAAGACCAATCAATCGTTCATCGACTAACTGTAACAGCCACAATTTTGATAATTTTGTTTCTCTTTTCATTTGTTCATTGATTTAGTATATGGAAAATTTTTCTCAGGTTACTTTTTTTTTTACTTGATATTGAATTTCAAGAAAAAAATCCTTTTAAGATGAATGATACTAATTTTCTACCTTGATATTATATCTATCATTGAATATAAATGTTTAGAATATTAGAAAATCATATGGTTAGTAGAATATTGCCATCATATTGAAATAAGTATTGAAGTGTCTCAAAGTCTCCCGATGAATTTTCCATGATTTCTATATTTTATATTCCACATTTTACAAAATTAACTTAATCACACTACTGCAATCCTCTTGGATAAAATTTTATTCAGAATACACACTCTAAATTAAACATTAGATCCTAGATTAAATTGTCTACATTAAGATTTGTCAAACTCTGGACTAAATTGTGTAGATCAAGTCTTGTTAAGAGTTTTGGACTCAAAATCGACTTACAGACTTTCAACTGAATTATCAAACTCTTAATTGAAAATTGTTTCTAGATTTTGAACCAAATTGCCAGACTTCAGACTAAAAATTCTTCCCAAAGTCCACGCTAAATTTCCTAAATCGTTTCTAATTCTAAACTCAATATTCTTCATTTATTGACTCTTAAATTCTTCAGACTCGAGATTAAATTCCTCATTCATTGACTCTAAATTTTTCATTCCCTTGTCCGTCTTTCCAATTCATACATTCACATTCACACGATCGTGAACGTGAAAAAATTCCATCGTTTCTCGACTAGATAGATAGCCTTGTACCATGTTTTTGAAACTCTTTCAGGCATTTTTAATCATCGTGGATCCAGCAAGCAGCGCAAGGGAGCAACGGGACGTGGATCCGAAATTACAGTATCCTTTTTCATTTAGAGGTTTTCTCACGTCCGTACGGTGGAGGAGTAATGGAACGTATATAGGAAGATTTGTCTAACCACTGTACGCTTGAAATTCATATCGTAGATGGTAATAGTGAAATCGTAAGCTCGCGGTGGTTACTCGCCGGGATCGCGTGCCTCTTGTTTGAATAATTCACAGTGGGAACACGTGTGAATTTTATCGTGGTTCATGGTATCCTTAACGGAGATTTAGAGCTCGTTTCACTCAAGCAGTTGCTGAACTAGAGTTTCTCGGTTTCATCAAGAGCTCGCGGAAGAAAACGGACCACGTTAAGCGACTCACATGATCATCCCTTACTTAATTTCCTTTTTTTTATACATTTCGAATCCTTTCAACTAAAAAAAAAAAAGAAACCTTGCTTTCTACATTTAGAAAGTAGAAATATCTCTCATTTGAAAGTCTTGTCCCGATCCTTCAATTTATTACATCAGTACCTTTTTCTTCCTGTGCGTTTTCATCCTAAGAGACACTTTCCAGTTCTTTTTCGTTTATATGGATACTTAGCTTAGGTTACAAATGAGATTCATTTTGTATTTTTTTGAAATTTGCGTTTTAATAAAGGAAAAAGAAGAGAGATGGAAGGAGATTTTTCATTACCTTTTATTTTTTTCATTTTATCTCCAAGAGATAGTTTCCAATTTTCCTTTCCATTTTCAAATTTGACTCACATCCGTTTGCTCTACGCGTAACATTTATTTTCATTCTAATAATAATGAGGAAAAAGACAAGTGGATAAGAATATCAGGTAGCTTCAATTTTTTATTTTTTATTTTTTATTTTTTATTTTTTTTTTTTCCAAGAAATATTCTCCAACGTGGCGTGCGGAAGTTTCCGGACAGGAACTTCCGTAGCTTCGAAGGGGGAAAGCTAAAGATGAAATTTAGATAACACGGCCAGCGTGGTACGGTGGGATGGAAAAACAGAAAGTATGGTCAAGAAACGGTTCTTATTTATGAGGATAATTATAATGATTAGGGATAACTGCGTTACCTTTTCCCCTCGTTCTAAGCATCGTTAGGTAACCTAATGTACGATAATACAGTATACAACCGGTGTTATTACGTTCTGAAAAAGTTTTTAATCACTCTGCGAGGGTTAGTTTCACACGATAATGGTCAATTCGAGAGGTTGATAATTACTCGCAAACTGTAACATTCGTTGTTTAGAAAAGTGAATATTTCGTGAAAACACAGTTTTCGAGGTAACTTGAAATGAAGGTGGGAAGAACTCCGCGTGAATTATAATTTCACGTGCCTTAATGATTCACTAAGATTCATCAAATTACTAATCGAGTTACGTCGCTTTTTTAACGAATATAACATCTGCATATAATATCTGCATAAAGGTGATATCTGTTATCAATATTAAAATTCACTCTTTCTCCTATTTTTTTTACGTTTAAATTTAATCGTATTGCTTTTTTTTGTCTTCACTGTTATTCTGAAATTGTAAGAAGCTAATTGTTTCTGAGATCATTACATATTCTTATCTTATTTTTATTAAATTATAAAATAATTTTGAGAGTAATTCTTAAAAGAAGATACTTTCTATATTATAATGTGAAATCGGTAGTTTTACATTTCTTTCGGATTTTATCATTTGGATTTCCAACTTCCATTTTCATGAATTGATATTGCAAGCGTGGTAGATTAAAAATTTATAGAATATGATACCGTTGATTTTTTTTTTCTGTTCAGACGTTAAATAAAATTGCAGCCGCGCAGATGTTTTTTACGATACGCAGCTATCTCTAACAATAAATTTTTATGATACGATATATCGATTATTCCTTTCAGTCTTCGTTCTCCGTACCGCGTGTACATCTGTTAGTTTAATTATTTTTATCTTTGCATCGAAACAAATTCTTCGCCAGGAATCGTACAATTTTTGAAAAGTCGAATTATTTCAAAAAGTGAGTAACATATCCCAATTGCAAACAGCGTTGCTCGATTACTTAATGTTCATACACGATCAATCAATTACAAAAATTCACTTAATTCCAATTCCTAGGTTAATTTCGAAACTCCTTCCAATTCCTCTCTGAAACACAATAATCTCAAATAGTGTCGCTCTCGCGATCAGTTTAATCAGTCACTTCCAGCTTGGAATATTATTCCAATTTCTCTAAAAGAAAAAAAAAAAGAAATCTCCGACAATTTTCAAAATGGAATTCCGCCCAAGTAAAACAAGAACAAACACGTTGGCAGGTATTGTATGATTAAGATCGAGTAAGACAACCGGAAATTAATTCAGCCAGCATCGGACTGGAATTGAAACAACGCGTACAGCAGCGAATTATATCTGGTATAGAGGCGTAGGTGTAACCACGCGTTCGCGGAAATCTTCAGCATCGATCATAGCGGGATATCACGAAGCAGGCTTTCAGAGTCTCGTGTGTATATGTGTGTGGTTCAAAGGTACGTGGATCAGTAAGGAATGTGTCAAAAGCTCCGAGCGGCACGGTTAAGCGGCTTCTCCCTTCGTAAACGTATATGATAGATGGCACCCGTTATGCCCATGCATTGAATAGCGAATTAAATTCTGCTTGCTTCACAAATTTACCCTTCGGCGGTTTATCTGCATCAGACACCTGTCGTCTATATTATTCAGTTTGACTAGGTGCGTTGCACGCCGCGCGTTCCACGAGCCGAATGCCGATAATGAGGTTTTCACGTTGACGAAAGGAAAAATCGCGTGTCTCTGTGTCGCTCGCCATCGATATCACGACTGCGCGTTTCTACGATGTTTGCATTCTGTTCTCGTTTGTGCGCGTCGAGATCGTAAAGGACGTGTGTGGAAGATTTATTTTTTACTCTTGAGACTTTAGGCGATCTTTTTTTTTTCGTGAAAATCGGTCAAAGTTAGTTGTTCCAATAAATTGGAACAGTGAAGATTGAAATGCGACAGAGAAATGAGATTAGGTATACTGTGAATGAGTCTGTTTGAAAAATTTCGAATATTTTGTATTTCAAAAGAAACAAACAATATTGTTAAATAAAAATAGATTCTAATCGAGTCAAAATTTAACTAAATATCTATTGAAACTTATTACGTAATCAGATATTTTGGAATAGAGATGAGAAGATTCTTATAACGCGTACGAACGCTTACGATAACTTTCTACCTACTTGAAAAAGTTAAACGTTTGCTTAAACACAGTTGATATTTTGTAATTTTAAGTTTGCAGTTATATAGTATAGTTACTGACATTGGAGAATAATTACAGTCGAATGTTTAGTCGAATAATATAGATCCTCCATCTATTTCCTTGATTAAGATCAACATCTCTCTACCTTAACATTAATCTAATATTAGATCAAGAGTTTCTGTAGCTTCTGTTTATACGGCGTTTAATTTACCTTTGTTGAGTTCGAAAGCTATAAAACAGTACGATTCTTTGAAAAGTGGGGTGGAGTTTGGAGAAGGAGTAGATAACTTTGTGTTATGACTTTTAAATAGAACGTGGTTAAATATTGTATACCTAATGGATATTGAATACTTTTTCCAAGAATTTACCTAAAAGAAGGAATTCAATGATTAAACACCACGTCATGATCTTGAATCAGATTGAATATATTTTATTAATTTGTAATAAACAATAAAATTTCGTCTAAAGGAATTCCAAAAAAATCCAAATGTAGTAAAATACTAAGGTACTTCTTGATTTATTACAGAAAATGTTGCAAAATAATTTGATAAATTTATTACTATCAATTAAATGAAAAAGTATATCAAGAAGCAAAATGAATACTTATAGAGAATATGTAAAATACATAGAAAATATTCGAAAAGTACCATTACAACAATTTAGAAAACTAAATATTCTAGTGAAAGGTATTCAACTTGGTACAACTTAGTACGATGGATTCATCGACTTCGATTATTATAGAATGATTGGAAAATCGAAATGAAAATCATGAATCTGCTCTTTAAATGCAATGGACAGCAATCGCGAATGCTCGTCACCAACACGATTCTACCATTTACTACCGTTTGCGCAAGCAAAACAATGCATCAACCCGAAGAGAATCACGAAACATAATGGCCACGAAATACCATAACTTTGTAATGGGTTAAATCAATGACCCAATTCAACTTCGTCGGGAATCACCACGAGAGCCGTTTCATCCACGGAATAATTTAACTTCCTGGGTGCATATTGATGACGTATGTCGTTCATTTGCATACGACCGCCGCCGAGCACCCTGCGAATATCAATGATTCACCAGTTATCCAGATTTCGTTCTCATTTCTGATACACGTTCTTCTTGATTCTCGCGGATCGTTCTTCTCCACCCGACTACCATCCTTTCCCTGCGCTTTCTTTCTTCCTCTCCCTTTGCCCTTTTTCTACTTTTCTTCAAATTCCGAATAGCAATGGACCTTAAATAAAGGGGCGAACTCGTCGGTTACTTTCCAATTGGAGAAAAAAGAAAACGAAAGAAGAAGGAGGAGGAAGAGAAAAAAAGGATGAAAAAGGGACGGTGGCGTGGGAGAGGGGAAAAAGAACTTCTAAAAGCGGTTGCAATCGTTCGTGCATTTTAACGGGGCGCGAACGAAAGTGAACGAATATCGAGGAGGATTAATTGAATTCCCATGGCGAGGCTTTCTTTCCGTCTGACGTGTTGCCGACAAATTACCACTGCACGTTTTAGCAAACTTTTGCTTCGCTGAAATATGGATAATCTCTGGGCGGCTTTTCCGTTTTCGCGTTTTTTTTTTTTTCTCCCTTCCATTTCTCCCCTTTGACAATGTCGATGAAAATGAACGAACTCTTGAATGTGTATTTTTCAGAGTTGGTATTTTTTTTTCCTTTTCTTTCGTACGATGGTGGTAGTTAGCCGACGATAAAATTGCTGCGGATGGATATACAGGAATTGTAATTTTTGAAATTGGAAATTTAATTAACATCACTTCTCAGATAGCATATATATATTGCTGCTCGGAAATTTCAGATCATTTTTTTATTAATTTGAGAGAGATATACGGTGATGAAGATTTAATATTTCTTTAATATTTCGCCGATTCATTGATTTTCATTGTTGAAAACAGCGACTATTTCGTTACTGACAATGAGTTAAATTGTTGATGACTTCAGTAACAACCTAAAGTTATTTAATGTTTAAAATTAATAATTTAATGTAATTAATTTAATATTTAATATTGTTACGTGTAATGTTTAATATTACATTTAAATAATGTTACATTGAATGTTTAATATTACATTTAAGTGTAATTATTTTAATGTACTCTGAGAAAAGTTGCTTCAATAGAAAGAAATGCTAATATCGTGCGCGTTAGTGAACGCCATAATCCTAGGATGACAATATACATTCTCTTCCTCTGCTTCCCTCTCTGTTTCGTATATATTTTTATGTTTGCGTTTATCTGCATGCGTACACGTAGAATAGAGACTTTTAATGTTACACGAGTATTAAAACGCATAATTACTCGTGTATTTTTCATTTCTTGATGCTCATTACACTCTTTTTAATACACTGTGCAAAACTGCAACTTCTGCCTCGTAAAAGTTAATAAAAGAAAATGTTTGTCATCGTATAAAAAGTACAAGAAAC